TGCTCTCTGTATGCAGGGTCCCGGGCCCTGTCAGGAGGTTGGGTCTTCCTGGCCTCCTGTGCTCTCTGTATGCAGGGTCCCAGGCCCTGTCAGGAGGGTGGGTTTTCACCCACGTTCTCAGGCCACATTTTTCCTTCCAGACCTGGAGGGTTGGTGGCCCCAGCTGGGCGTAGGCGGGCGGCCGTCCTCTGGCTGGGCTGGGCTGAGCAGTGCTCATGGTGACGGCTTCCATCTGTGGTGGCTCCATCGTTTGCTCTGGGGACTGTACCCAGCTGGTTGGGACAGCATTGACACTGACGGCAATTCTGTCCTTCCCCAACCCCTAGGAAAGACCAGAACCTGCTATCTCCCGTGAACTGCTGGTATCTGCTCCTGAACCAAGTGAGGCGAGAGAGCAAGGACCACGCCACCCTGGGCGACATCTACCTAAACAACGTGATCACTCGGTTCACGCAGATCAGCGAGGACTCCACACGGATGTTCAAGAAGGTGCAGCCCAAACCCCACAGCCCAGGTTCTCAGCCCACAGCCCCCAAGTGTGCGTTCTGGGCCCATGAACCCCAGAGTTCACTTTCTGAGCCCATGAACCCCACAGTGCAGTTTCTCTGTGGGGACCCCCCCCTCCCCCGTATGTTTTCTGGACCCACAACCTCCCTCCTCCCCTCTAGTGTGCTTTCTGATAACTGCTTTCCTCATGACCAGGTCTGAGAATAGTATCTCAAAAAAATTAGGTGAGTGAATGTTTTAAAGACACAGAATAAGAAGCGACCCTGAACAGGCGTGCTTAGTTGCGGAGTTGTGACCCAGTGCGTCTGGGAGCTGAGTGAGTGGTGTCAGCAGAGGTTTGGGATGAGACCTGCCCACTGCCCCTCCACCCTTAGGGACTTGTGAACAATCAGACATGGTGGGGGGCCTTGAATTCTGTGTTGTGAGCTCACAGGTGATCAGAGACTTGTGACAAACAGGATGACCACCCTGCTGTTCACACAAAGATTATCACAGCCTTGTCTCCACCAGCCCAGCAGCAGGGGCTGTGAGAACCACCTGAGGCAGACTCCACAGGGCACCGAAAACTCAGTGCCTACACCCGAGAGCGTCTCCCTTCCCATGCGCTGGGAACCAGACCTGGGTTTTAAGGTTTCTTGTCATCACTGCTAGTCTCAGCCCGTCGACTCTCAGCAAGCTTTTTCTTGAGCACAATGGTAGAATAGGACCATTTGCCATTCAGAGAACACGGCCACTTGCCCAGTGAGACTGACTTTCTTCTGCTTGTAGAATGAGGGTCCCCCACCCAGTTTTTGCTGATCATTAGTGTTGTGGCCAGTACCTGCCCCTACACCTCTGGTTAGGGAGTAGTTGTTAGTTTTGGTGTGAGGCCTGAAGATTAATAACGTTTTTATGTTTCAAAGGTCCCCTCCAAACAAGGAGGCAGTGTTCCACGGCCAGCTGGAAAGCTGCTTGGTCACCTTTGATGTATCCACGTTAGGCTTGATTTCCAACCTAGCAACAGTTCAGCAAGCTCTATGTCAGCTTGTACTCTGTTAAACAGAAAAGGTTTTTTTCAAAGAAAGAAGAAATTTTAACAATTGTAATTAAGGAGCATACTAATTAAGAAGATAATACACAGAGAAATATCCCGTGTATCTTAAATAATGAGAGCTTTAAAAACTAGTTCAGACTTAGCCGTGAAAATGAACGGATGTTCTTGTACATCAGTCTTTCTGCAGAGGCCTCGTTTGGCTCAGGGGGATCTTCTGAGCATCTTTATGAGCCGCAGACCATGCTGATAGGTGTTAGAAAAGCTGCGAAGATGCGGAGTCCCTGTGCTCAAGGTGGTTACAGTTCATCCAGATTTGGGTGACACTGTGTGATGCTTCCCATCCACCCTGCAACCCCCCCACCCCCACCCCGAGTTCGTTTGCTTATCCACTCAACAAAACTCCAGGACAGGCCTGGCCAGGGAAGGTGTGTTCCTGCCTACAAGGAGCTCCTGACGGTAACCGTGCTGGGGCTGCAGGACCCATTGTGGGAGCTGGAGGCTGCAGATGCTGACACTGCCTGGGGGTCAGGAAGCCTCCATGGGAGAGGGAAGACTTGAAGTGGAGGAGGAGGAGTGGCTGGCCAGGCAGGGGACAGGAGCTAAGGAGGAGTGGCTGG